TCATTTGTCGCGAACCGAGCGTAGGCCTGGGATGGGGGTGAGGGGGGAGGTGTAGGGGCAGGTGTAGCACCTCCTGCGGTTGCAGGGAAAGGTGCCGGGGGTGGTGGGGCTAGTGGGGAGATGGAAAGGATGAGGGAGTCGCGGAGAGAGTGGTCCCTCCAGAAGGCAGATAAGGGTGGGGAGAGAAATATATCCTTCCTAGTGGGGTCAGATTGCAAATGGCAGAAGTGGTGGAGAATGATGCGTTGAATCCGGAGGTTAATGGGGTGATACGTGATACGAGGTATTTCTATTTCAAGCCCATCAACTCCCACAGCTACCTCGACTACACCTCCTCTCAACCAGCTTCCTGCAAGAATGCGATCCCCCACTCCTAATGCCTCTGCCTTCACCGCATCTGCTCCCAAGTTGAGGCGTTCCACTCCTGAACATCCCAGATGTCCCCGTATTTCAAGGACCGCAACTTCCCCCCTTCAGTGGTCGAAAACGCCCTCGAATGCATTTCTTGTGTTTTCCGCACCTCAGCCCTCACACCCGCTACCCGCAATAAAAACAAAAACAGAATTCCCCTTGTCCTCACACATCACCCCATTGACCTACAGATTCAATGCATCATTCTCCGCCACTTCCGCCACCTGAAATCTGACCCCACAACGAAGGATATATATTCCCTCCCCACCCTTATCTGCCTTCCGGAGGGACTGCTCTCTCCGTGACTCCCTCGTCCGCTCCACGCTCCTCACTAGCCCCACCACCCCCAGCACCTTTCCTTGCAACCGCAGGAGGTGCTACACCTGCCCCTACACCTCCCCCCTTACCTCCATTCCAGGCCCCAAAAAACCTTCCACATCAGACAGATGTTCAACTGCACATCTGCTAATGTGGTATACTGTATCCGCTGTTCCCGATGTGGCCTCCTGTACATCGGTGAGACCAAGCGAAGGCTCAGAGACTGCTTTGTAGACCACCTACGCTCAAATCGTGACAAATGACAACATCTCCCAGTCGCGAACCACTTCAACTCCCCCTCCCACTCCCTGGACGACATGTCCATCCTGGGCATCCTCCAATGTCACAACGATGCCACCCGGAAACTGGAGGAGCAGCACCTCATATTCTGCCTTGGAAGCCTACAACCCAATGGTCTCAATGTGGGCTTTACTAGCATCAACATCTCCCCACCCCCGGCCTCATCCAAAGACCAACCCTCCCTCTCATCCCCGCCCCCTTGATCTGTCCGTCTTCTCTCCCACCTATCCACTCCGCCCACCTCACTGACCAATCCCCACTACTACCTACCTGCTATCACCATCCCACCTACCTTCCCCAGCCCAAACCCCCCCTCTCTATTTATTTCAGAGCCCCCTTCCCCTCCCACATTTCTGACGAAGGGTCCTGACCTGAAACGTCAGCTTTTCTTCTCCTCTGATGCTGCCTGGCCTGCTGTGTTCCTCTAGCTCCACACTGTGTTATCCCCCTTCTTGCTTATTTGTACTTCTGTCGCACCTATAGCTTCTGTATCCTGGAACATTGAGCTGCAAGTCCTGCCCTTCTCTCAGCCATGTTTCTGTTATAGCCGTAATATCCCAGTCCCCAGAGCCAAATCATGCTCTGAGCTCATCTGCCTTACCTGTCAGGCCTCGTGTGTTGAAATAAATGCACTTTAAACCAGAAGTCTTTTCCCTTCCTTTCTGTGCCCCTGGCTATCCTGAATCATAAACTTGCTCTCCATGGCTAATGTATTTTCCCCTGACTTCTCGATGGCCCCTCTCTTATTGAGAGTCCCATCTATTGCCAAACTAGTTTAAACCCCAAATGTCAAGGGGCAGTGGTTAGATTGTCTCTTACTGATGACAGTCATAGCCTAGCATTTGTGTGGTATCAATGTTACTTGCAACCTGTCAGCCCAGGCTTGAATTTATCCAGAACTTTTTGCATTTGGACATGGACTACTTCAGTATCTGAAGAGTCACGAATTATGCTGAACATTGTACAATCATCAGCAAACATCCCCACTTCTGGCCTTATGATGGAGGGGTGCTCATTGATGATGCAGTGAAGATGGCTGGGCTGAGGACACTACCCTGAAGAACTCCTGCAGAGATGTCCTGGAACAGAGATGACTGACTTCCAACAACCATGATCATCTTCCTAGGTGTCAGGAATGATTCCAATCACCAGAAAACTGCCCCAATACCCATTGATTCCAGTTTTGCTAGGGTTCCTTGATGCCACACTCTGTCAAAGGCTGTCACTCTCACCTCCTCTCTGAAATTCAGCTTTTGTGTCTATATTTGAACCAAGGCTGTAATGAGATCAGGGGCTGAATAGCCCTGGCGGAGCCCAAACTGGGCAACGCTGAGGCAAGTTATTGCTGAGCATGTGCTGCTTGATAGCACTACTGATGACAGTTTCCATGACTTTTGTGATGATCAAGAGTCGACTGATGAAGCAGTAATTGGCTGGGTTTGATTTGACCTGTCTTTTATGTACAGGACATAACTGGGCAATTTTCTATATTGTCAGGTAAATGCCAGGGTTGTAACTGTACTAGAAGAGCTTGGCTAGGGGAGTGGCAAGTTTGGAGCACAAGCCTTTAGTACTATTGCTGGAAAGTTGCCAGGGCCCATAGCCTTTGCCATATCCTTTGGGGAGGCGATGGTCTAGTGGTATTACTGCTGGATTGTTAATCCAGAGGCCCAGATAATGTTCTGGGGACCTGGGTTTGAATCCCGCCATGGCAGGTGGAAGAATTTGCATTCAATAAATATCTAGAATTGAGAGTCTAATGATGACCATGAACCCATTGTCGATTGTTGGAAAAACCCACCTAGTTCACTAATGCCCTTTAGGGAAGGAAACTGCCATCCTTATCTGGTCTGGCCTACATGTGACTCCAGACCCACAGCCATGTGGTTGACTCTGAACTGCCATCTGGGCAATTAGGGATGGGCAATAAATGCTGCCTAGCCAGTGACACCCCTCATCCCGTGAATGAATAAAGAAAAAAAATGAATAAAGAAAATCCAGTGTCTCTAACCATCTCGTGTTATCATCTGGAGTGAATCGAATTGGCTGAAGACTGGTATCTGTAATGGTGGGGACTACTGGAGGAGGCTGAGTTGGATCATCCCTTCGGCAATTCTGGCTGAAGATTGCTGTGAAAGCTTCAGCCTTATATTTTGCGCTAATATGCTGGGCCCTCCCATCATTGAAGATGGGGATATTTTTGGAACCTCACCCTCCAGTGAGTTGTTTAATTATCCCCCACTATTCATGACTGCATTTGGCAGGACTGAGAGCTGAGATCTGCTTCATTGGTTGTGGAATCGCTTAACTCTGCCTATCACTTGCTGCTTATGCTGTTTGGCATGCAAATAGACCGGTTTGGTGGCTTGAGAATGAGAATTTATCTGTCTTTACGCTCTTTTTACTCCAATTATTTTAAAATAGAACATGTACTCGAGTCTCTCTGCAAAATATAACTTGGCCACCTTTTTTTACAAAGTGAAATAATCGTTAGTGAGGTAATAGTGCAGGTAGAAATTATTGGTATGCCAAGTCTCATGGATTATTTTCTTAAAATTAAAGGGAACAGAGTATTAAAGGCAGAGGGAGAGCAGTAAGAGAGACCAAGGAGGAGTATGGAGAAGGGAGAAGGTGTGAGTAAGAGAGAAAAAGGAGTAATAGAGAAAGTGGGAAAATGATGGAGTGTGGGGGAGGCAATGAGAAGAGGCAGGGAGTAGGAAAACAGGATATGAGAGCTTGAAACCCCAGGTTGAAAGTCAACCCACTTCCGAACCCCATTCTCATATAAGTTCTGCCAAGGCCAGCTCAATGAGTGCCTCATCTGAGGCAACCCATAGTCAGTGTTAGTTGAACGTAGCTCCTTAATTCAGCCCCAATCTCCACTCCTTTTCCTGGTAATCACAAATTGGAGCTGATTCTTTTTCTCTATCTAGCTCTTCTTTAACCAAAAACGCAATAAGAAAGCTTTATTAAGTTTTGCTGCTTGGCAATTTTCAATGGTCATTTCTATCAAAACAAATTTTAATTATTAAGTTTTTGCCTTTGAATTTATTTCTATGAAGTCCATGTTTACTCTTCTAGCAATCCTTTTCTTTCTGAAATCTGCTCACTTGACCTCTAAGAAGAGAAAAATTTAAATATGGCCTCCTCCGCCACCATGCCTGAATGTGAATAGGCTGAACATTCCTGCTAGCTTAATAGCCATTTCTTATTCCTAAAACTTCATATATTCTTAAAATTATGGGTTGAAATATTGTTATAAATTACACATGGACAGACAAATTAGGTACAGAAGTAAGCTCCACTGCCCCTCAAGCTTGCTCAGCCATTCAACAAGATCATTGCTGATCAGTCCAGAATCCTATCCATCCCTGATAAAGGTTTACCCCTTTGCTTATCAAGAATCTATCTATCTCTGCCTTAAAAATATTCAAAGACTGCTTCCAAAGCCTTTTGAGGAACAGAGTTCCAAAGACACTAAATCCTCTGTGAGACCCTCATCTTTCACACAAATGGACAATTTTCTATCCACACCAATATATTACTCCACTCAATACCAGTTTCTCAAAAGCAATCAAAAGGGGTGGGAAATAAATGTTGACCTAACCCATCAATCAATAGAAGGAAACATGAATATATTTTGAATCTTGCTGAAAAAGACACATTTTATCATGCATTCGTCAGGACGACTTGCAAGAATACTAATTAAAGGCGAAATCAAGATTCATACTCTATTAGAGAGAGCTCTCATAGAATATTGCTGTGGAGAATGCCAGCTAATGATGATTGACAGCCAACTGCCAAGCCTAATCAAATTGAAGTTATCTGGCCATTCAATTAACTTCAAAATTATTATAGGCTCAGAACCATCACTTTTGATGTATAGTTACAATTTAAGGCATTACTTCTAGATATGTAATTTTGAAGGAAATGAAGTTAGTGAATAGAGAGAATTGTGCTATATAACTTACCTGGCTTGGTAACTGGTACTTTGAGATGTTTACCACTGTTTACCTCTTCTGCACCATGTGGATGGATAGAGTAAGGAAAGGAAGCTAAATTCTTAAATATAACCATGATACTGTCACCAATCTCTGCTCGAATGATTGGACCTAAATTTATAAGATCACACAAAATAGATTTGGTTAGTTGCAACTGGACAGTTGCAAGCACAACATACAAGGAAGATCTTCAGAAAGCTAAAATCTAAATTCACTTCCTAATTAATTTTCCGATTGCTTCTACTTCAACTTATTCATTTGGTGATATATTTTGATTTCAATCACAAGAAAGCTCAAAAGTGAATGACTGGCACCAACCTGAGCCAAATAGTTACATTTTCAATTTTTTGATCATAGAATTTAAATTGTACTTCATTTTAACATGTTAATACTGCAACTGTTAAATAAACAATACTAAACCTCCAAAGATGTATTTTGTTTTAAATCTATGAGATGATAAATTCTACAATATCTCGCTTAATGATTGTCAGAAAATTTCTTCTGGATTATCATTCTAAAGACTGCTCAATACCAATATTTATGTGCAGTTAATATATGTGAAATAGTTTTTTATTCATTACCGAGTATTTCCAAGTGCTGTTCTTCTGGCAGCCTTACTTTCTGTGTGGTGAACGTTCCATCTGTAAACTCCCTATAAACAACCTTTTTGTACCTGGACCCAATTTTACCTTGCCCTGTACCAACAAACACATGGCCAAAACTAGAAAAACAGAAACATTGACAATTAGCAAATTTGTCTTTGGCTACATTCAAGATGCCATCTATTAAGGGTTTTATGGATAGCATTCAGGTCAACATATTTTTCCAGAGATATTGCAGCTTTTACAGAGTTAGAAAAATGTTCTACACAATCAATAAATAATTCTAAACGCAGATGTTTTCAGCTAAATTTTTCTTTCTCTGGAAAAGGGGAGATAGTTGGTGAGAAGGGCAAAGAATTGGGCAGATTGATCTTGGGGTGATACTTGTGCCCCTATCTTGATCTTGTGCCCCTAACCATCAATCAAGGCCCTTAATTCCTCATTTAATAGCTGCTAAGGGCCTCAACATGCTGTGTTAACATTTTAAATTGACAGGGGAACCAAGGTGGTCTGTTTGCTGGCTTGGGGAAGGGGCTCCATTTGCCTCGTCTAGCATCAATTGGGCAGGAACAGGGGTGCGGTTCATTGTTGCTGGAAGTCAATCATGCCCTTGTGCCCAACAACTATGAATTCCCTTCTCCCTGCAGCCTCCCAACAACAAAAAAAAACTCTCACTGATGCAGCTCTTTATTGTTATGAAGCCCAGGTCTCCAGTGACATTTGTGATTGGCTAGCAGCCTCATGTGGGCAGGACTTCAGTGGCAAGTTTCCTTATTGGATGAGCAGTGCCTAATTAGTGATTGACCCAGTGAGATCTCTCACTGGTGGGTTTGGGGAGCTCATTTCCCCTGAAATCACCTGCCCCACTACTCACTGAGCAGAGCACTAATTCCTGGCCTTTATTTACATTTATATTTACATTTATAAGGACCGTAAAAAAGTACAGAATGTTGTGTGCACAGCCCAGTCAAAATGGAAGCCAACCTTCCATCCATGGACTCTATTTACACAGCTCAGTGCTGCGGAAAGACGGCCAACATCATCAAAGACCTCCTATGACCTCTTCCGCCAAGCAGAAGATACAACACACGCACAAGCAGGTTCAGGAACAGCTTCTTTCTGGCCATTATCAGACTGTTGAATGGACTCTAGCCTCAAATAATATAACCTGCAATGTAATTTGTAAGCCTTTAAGTCTTCTTGATCTGTACATCCTTTGCCTGCTGTGATCTGCCTGTACCACTTGTAAACAAAGTTTATCACTGTATTTCGGTATACGCAACAATAAAAAAAATCAATATTTAACATTGATATTTTTAGAAATATTACATGTAAGCATGGAAGCAATGCCAAGGTCTACATCAGAAGCACAAACCCTGACTCCATGACTACTGTTATACCATCTTCATCTGCTTCATCAATGACATGTCTATGTTACAAGATCAGAAATGGGATGTTTGCTTATGATTACACAGTGTTCCACACCATTTACAGCTCCTCAGATGCTGAAGCAGTCTATGCCCACATATGGCAAGACCCAGATAATATTCAAGCTTGGTTGGTTAATAGCAAGTAACATTGACAAATGAGCATATGAATTAGGAGCAAAAGTAGTCCATTTGCTGGCTCTCAAATTTTCTTTCTCATTTAAATGTTTTGTGTGTCTCCATCCAGTTAACACTGCAAACAATTCTAGCTGTATGATCCAGCCTTTGGGGTTCCAATTCTGGAGTCCTAAAACACATCTTACTCTCTTAGCTCCAAAAGAGCATGAAGTGCCTCACTCCAGACTTTTGGTAACTGCCTCCTGTGGCCCTCTATTTGCTGTCACTCTCTACCTTCAAACACCTTCTCAAAACTTAGTTTTATAATCTAGGCTGTGGTCATTCCTCTCTGTTGTTCTTTCACTGGTATCCATTTCATTTCACAAATGCACCTTGAAACTTGGGAGCATACAGACATAAGAAATAGTAATTGAGTAGGTTGTACAGCCCTTTGAGCCTGTTCTGTCATTCAATAAGATCATGGCTGATTTTCTATCACAACTCCACCTTGCTGCAATATTCCATATCCCTTGATTTCCTTAGTATCCAAGAGTAGAGGTCACCATAATGCTCCCAATCATACAAAAGTTCCATATCGCAGATATATTGAGGTTGTGGAAGATCTAGGGCTAATTCAGGTGCCTGGAAGACCTCAAATATACATTTGTAGACATGAAAACAAGAGCTGATATTATCAAAGAGGAAGTTCAAGAGTTTTCTTAGTCACAGAACAAGAAATAATAGTAGATGGAAGATGAGACCAATAGCATTGAAGATATAATACCAGCATCCATAGTAAAAATAAAAGTTAGAGATTCACAACTTATTCTCATTTTTGCTCCAACTGTAGGCAGCTATTATTGAACTAACTTTATTTACACCTCCCCAACAGAGTGAGCAATATGATGAAATGCTCAGCTCTTTCAACATTGAGCATCTCCAGCTCTCTGGCATAGATAATTCCAAACTTTCATAACTTTTTAAATATTAGAGTTTCCTATTGTTTGAATTAAATCTTGAATGAATGAATATTGTGAACGAAAAATTAGTACCACCTTTCTTCTTTCGTTGCATTGTGTCTTTCCAGCTCCCAGCTCCTGTCAGGACAATAGTCCCACTCAAGTTCCACTGCAGCAATGTAGTATGTTCGAATTGTTTCATAAACCTGGTCTGGGACACTTTTATTGCAGTTTTTAACATGATACATTTGTTTCATTCCACCCAAATAGTGATCAGCTGTTCGGCAGATGACCTTAAAAGTACCTGAATTAAATATTTTAATTTGAAATTTTAAGGAGTTCAATGTAACAAACCTTGAAAAGAATAGTTCACTTAACTTCAAAGCTGGAATTAAAACTTTGCAGCTGTGATTCTAGTCTAGTACCCCATTCCTTCACTCTTACACTACCAAGTTGAAATCCAAAAATATTTCCATTTTGTTGAACATAATTTTGTCTCCAATGAAGAATTTAGCTATATTCTGATCTTTAATTTTAGATGTGAGGTCACATTATAGAAAATTTGTACACGAGGCAATCATAGAACCATGGAATGTACAGTACAATGGCATTTATTCCATACAACATGCATGTACTGAATCTTTGCTAGTAAAATCCAGATCTAATTCACTGCCCTGCTGTCTCTCCATAGGTCTGGTGTTTTTTCTATTTGTAATATTCATTTAATTAACTTTTAAAGTACAAAGTGTAATGCACAAGAAGCTAGATCAATAATGATTATTTTAGCAGTGAAGGCAGGAGGGAGAAAGAAGAACTCATACCAATATCGTCAGGCTGCATGAAGACTGTTGCAGAAGTATGAGGAAACACACTGAATACATCATGGGTGGTCCCCCTGAATTGTACTGTGTTGCCTTGAAAATAGATTCCATGCATGTCGATTTCAGTGCCAAGTCCAATCAAATGCCATGAAACATTGTCACCCTTGCACATTTCTAGTCCAGGCAAGTTACCAAACATGTAGCCATTGATGGCTGGAAAATAAATATTATAATTGTATTATTACACAGCAAAAATTTCCAATATATTTACTTAGAGCCATAGCACAGGAAGAAGCCCTTTAGTCCATTGTGTTTGTGTCAATCATCAAGCACCTACCCACTTTGATGCCATTTCCCAGCAATAGGCCCATAGTCTTGTATGCTATGTCAGTTCAAGTGTTCATCTGAATATCTTTTAAGTGTTGTGATGACTTTTGCCTCTACCATTCTTTCAGACATTGACTTCCAGATAGCCAACCTATTCTGGGTAAAAACAGTATTCTATAAATGCCTCTAAATCTTCTGATTCTTACCTTAAATCTATTCCTCCTAGTTAATGGCCCCTCTGTGAAAACAAAAAAAAACCTTTCCATCTACCCTTTTTTGCAGACAGACCCTGAGCTTCCAGTTGCCTGCCACTTCAACATACCACCTTGTTCCCTGGCCAACATCTCTATCTCAGTCTTGCTGCAGTGTTTCAGCGAAGCAAAGCTCAAGCTAACAGAACAGCACCTCAATTTCTACTTGGGAATTCCACAGCCTTCTGCACTTAATGTCGAGTTCAACAATTTCAGGGTTTGAGGTACCTTCTCCCATGTCCTTACTCCAACCCCTACATACCAGGCATTATTATCACATGGTCTGCTATTACACACTAACCATTGTTAGCCCCTAACAGTCCCATTAGGAGCTATTCGTTCTCCTAAGCTGACAGTTATTCTCTCCTGTATCTGGCCAACTGTGTTCCTCTCCCTTTAAGCTCTATCTCCACCTATTGTTCACTCCTTAACCCCCTACTCCCATCCTATCTTCTGCATAAAAAACAACTTTTTCCTCGTTACCATCAGTTCTGAAGAAGGGTCACTGGACCCAAAATGTTAAGTCTGATTTCTCTCCATTAAGACTGCTGAGTTTTTCCAGCAATTTATGTTTTAGTTGTTCATTATACATGGATTCACTGCTCACAGATCTGTGTACATGCAAGGTTAGCACAGACAAATTCTTTTTCCCCTAATTGATAGGTCCCAACAGATTATGCGGTCCTTCATAGCAGATTGGGGATTTCTATTATACCACCACTGGTGTTTTGTGTTATCCCCAGGATGTCCATGCCCTGATTCTCTGCACACAACAAGGATTTGGCCAAATCACTTTTCTAAGCAGGAAATGCAACAGCCAATTTGCACGCAGCAAACTCCCAAAAATAGCAAATAAATACCAAAAGAACTGCGGATGCTGTAAATAGCAATCCCAAAAATAGCAATTTGATAATGACCAGATAATCTGTGATTTTGGTGATGTTGATTGAAGGATAAATATTGGCAAGAAACCAGGATAATTCTGCTATTTTTCTTTCATACACTGCAGGCAGACAGAGCTTTGGTTAAATGTCATATTCAAAGAGGCATGACAATGTAGCACTCTCAAAGTGCTGCACTGGAGTGTCAGTTTACTGTTTTGAATCCACAATCTCTGACTCAGAGAAAGAATGCTATCAAATGAACCATTACGGAAACATTAAACCAGTGTGGAAACAGGCCCTTCGGCCCAACAAGTCCACACCGACCCTCAGAGCATCCCACCCAGACCCATTCTTCCATGCATCTGGAAGTTCAGGGTCTGTCTGCAAAAAAGGGTAGACGGGAAGTTTTTTTTCTTTTCACAGAGGGGGCATTAACTAGGAGGAATAGATTTAAGGTAAGAATTGCCCACAGTGTTCAGGGATGTGTCGATTAGGTGGGTTACAGGGAAAAGGCATAGGGGAATGGGTCCTGAGTGGGGTGCTGTTTGGAAGGTCGGTGTGGACTTGTTGGGCTGAAGGGCCTGGGATTCTTCAGAATAAAACATCTGCCCACAAAAAAGTCTCTGAGTTTCCCAATGCCTACCATTTTAACACCACCTTCTTCCTTGGCCAACATCTCTGTCTCAGGCTTGCTGCAGTGTTCCAGTGAAGCTAAGCACAAGCTGGAAGAACAATACCTCATTTTCCACCTGGAGACCCTGCAGCCCTCTGAACTCAATGCTGAGTCCAATAATTTTAGGACCTGAACTCCCCCATGTCCTAGCCCCCTTCCACACACACAGCAAGCCTTTTTATCACATTGTTTGCCATTACACACTACCTGTTGATAGCCACTAACAGTCTCCATTAACAGCTATTCACCCTCCCGGTGAGATTGTTATCAACTCCTTTGTCTGTCCAACTGTTCTTCTCTCTCTTTGGGCTCTAACCCGACCTATCGTTTACTCATTACCCCCTCCCCCCATCCTATCTTATTCATATAAACTGACATTTTCCTTGCTACCATTAGTTCTGAGGAAGGGTCATTGGACCCAAAACATTAACTTTGGTTTCTCTTTGCAGATGCTGCCAGACCTGCTCAGCTTTTCCAGCAACTTCTGTTTTTGTTTCACATTTACAGAATCCACAGTTCTTTTGGTCTTTTTTTACGTCCAGTCTAATGTCTTTGCTGATTTATACTAACACATTTCAAAGTATGCGTAACATTATTGCAGAATATATTGTATTTAAATTCAGAGTCAGTAGGAAAATGGAAAATGGTACTGGTTGCACCGATTTCTACCATGGCCCATGCCAAATGTCATCTGGCATCCACTTAAAGTATATAAAAATAAGCAGATTATGATGACATTCAATACCTAGCACTGATTTGACCCCTCACCTGCCATTTTCAGCTTTACTACTCTAGTTTTCATCCCTCATAAATACAGACAGCTGAACATGTGCTCAGATAGATGGGAATCCCCCAACAAAAAGAGGTCATCATCCAACGTTGAATTTTGTTCCTGGTTGTTTTCTACTAACAGTTGTTGCATTTTTGGAAGCGTCTGAAGGAGATTCTGCAGGAGAGCAAGGGCTCTGAATACATCAATTGCTAAAGTAGTCACCATTGGATTTCAGCATCAAAGAGAGATCGCGCAGACACAGTAAAGAGATGAGCTGCTCATAAAAGGAGACTGAGGTGGAGGGGAGAAGGGCTCTTAATAAGGGGCCCTGCCCTTTTAGGGTTTTCAGGAAGGAGAAATTCTATCTGCACCTAAGTCAGAGACATTACATGTAGTGGCCATGCTTTACCAAGGTTGAGGTCCTGAAATGAACCCAGATTTGTAGTCTCACAACAAAGAATACACAGTGCTGTCAGTGCCTGTGAAGGAACTGTCCGTCTCAATTTCTTTGCAAGTGGAACTAGATTAATAGATTACATCACGATAGTCTTTAAGTTTATTATCTGTTACCGCATTCAAGAATTGTAGTTACATTTATATAGCACCAGTCATGAAATCTCAAAATGCTTTACAGATAGTGAAGCCCCAAGTGCAGTCACTGTTGTTAAGGAGGAAACACTGCCAGTAATTTGAACTCAGCAAATTTCCTGCCAACAGCAATGTGACAATGATCAAATATTTTACCATCGTGATTTTGACTGATAGCTAAATTAATTGAGACCAAGGGAGATGGCTTTTGTGGTGCAGTGGTAGTGACCCTACCTATGAGCCAGGAGGTCTAAATTCAAGTCCCACCTGCTCCAAAGGTGTGTAATCTCCAAACAGGTTGATTAGAAAATATCTAAAGGCCAAGAGATAATGTCCCTGCCTTTCTTTAAAATAGAGCCATGACAACTTTCACATTCATCTCAGAGGACAAACAGTGCCTTTTAGCATCTCATCTGAGGGAAGACCTTCTAATTGTGCAACACTCCTTTAGTATTATACTGTTGTATCAGCCTTGATCTTTGTGTTCATTGAGACATTGAGGTCATACCTTCTGACTTCTGACTGTGAGGCAAGAGTGCTACCAACTCAGCCACGACAACAGAGGCTCCACTTGGTTGCAGAGGAAATATCACTCCATTCTCTCTGAACATAGAGAAACAGGAGGAACATACACATGACTGCAACAGGATAGTGGGCTCTTCAAAAGTGTTCTGGAGGAGTCTTCCTGTATTCAATGGTGCAGATGCTCCAATACGTGGTGGTCTCATCATCCTGGCCACCATGAGAGCAGAACTCTCACTCATTCACTTTAGTGACCCAATTGTGAAGAGGAGGAGAGGGAAAGGGAGGTTAAACTAGCACATACATATTCTAGAGATGATGTTCCCAACAATAAAGCATTACAGGAGTTAACATAAGCATTTCTGCATCTCATAAAACATCATGTTGGAGGCAAACTCGCACCAGAACATCCCTCCTGTCAATTTTTTGCACTAAGGAATCCACAGTGCAGCAACTGAAAACCTTGGATGGTGCTGTTTGGTTTGTTGCACTCTTTCTGCAGCTTTTTATAGTTTCAGTTCCTGATGGGCCAGAGTAGTACTGGTTTGCTGTAAATGGTGCTCTTCTCATTCAAACTGAGATGGTCATGCTGATTCTTACGTTTATGTACAAATCGATCAAGTACCATCAGGTTGCTGAAGATGGCAGTTCTCCACTTCTAAAAGGTAATAAACACCACAGCCACTTAGAATTAATTAATCTACTTCACCAACAGGAAAACCATTCTTGTACATCAGTAATTTAAAGAATAATTTTGAAAGATGAATTCCACGCCCCAAGTTATTTTTGCAGCAGTTGCTGATAAAGACATTGGTGGAGATCTTGAAAAATTCTCCATCAGTGAGAGTGCAGTGCACAGCAAAATGTGTGTGTGAGGGGTTGCAAAATCATTAGCAATGTACATAAATGGAGTCAAATCAGCTGATCCTAAGGAAGCCTAAATCAGAAAACGATGTACTCAGCACTTCCAGATAATCACGGTGTGATCCATTATGAACCCCATGAACAAAGAACAAAGAAAATTACAGCAGAGGAACAGGCCCTTCGGCCCTTCAAGCCTGCGCCGATCCAGATCCTCTATCTAAACCTGTCGCCTATTTTCCAAGGATCTGTATCACTCTGCTCCCTGCCCATTCATGTATCTGTCTAGATACATCTTAAATGACACTATCATGCCCACCTCTACCACCTCACTG